CAGAGCCCCTCAGAGCCCGGAGAGTTCGGGGGTGAGGGAGCCGAGAATCCCTCAGAGCCCGGAGGGTTCGGGAGTGAGGGAGCTCAAGAGCCCCGAGGATTTGGGGGTGAGGGAGTCCAGAGCCCCTCAGAGCCCGGAAAGTTCGGGGGTGAGGGAGCCGGGAGCTCCTCTGAGCCCGGAGGGTTTGGGGTTTAGGGACTCCAGAGCCCCTCAGAGCCCGGAGAGTTCGGGGGTGAGGGAACTCAGAGCCCGGAGGGTTCGAGGGTTTGGCGGTGAGGGAGCCGAGAGCCCCTCAGAGCCCGGAGGGTTTGGGGGTAAGGGAGCGCAGAGCCGCTCAGAGCCCGGAGACACGGGGAGTTTATGGGTGAGGGAGTCCAGAACCCCTCAGAGTCCGGAGGGTTTGGGGATGAGGGAGCCCAGAGCCCGTGCCGGCACAGTCCCTGTTTCACACAGGCACCCCCGGCTTCACAGCTTCACCCGGCAGCCGCGCCGGGACCTCGCCATCCTCAAAGTGAGGGATTTCTCCCCAGTATCGCATTGAAACCACCCCCTTCCTTCAGAATAAAACCGTTCCCCTTGTCCTCTCCCTCCATCCCTTGGCCCCAGTCCCTCTCCAGCTCTCCTGGAGCCACTTTAGGCCCTGCATGGGGCTCTGAGCTCTCCCTGGATCCTTTTCCAGCTGAAACCCCCCCAGCTCTCCCGGCCTGGCTCGTTTATGAAGAAAATACGTTCACTTTGCCCAACTAAAACTTGGTGTTTTGAGGAAGTTTCAGTACTGGTGAAGTTGCTTGCCAGCAGCCGGGTGTGTTGGCAGCAGGTTCCTTGGGCACCAAGGTTTCTCTGAACCCCTCACTGAGTTTCAGTCCTCAAAGATTTGAAAAACCCAGACAATAATAAGGTTGTGCACAGCACTCTGTGACAGCCTGAAACAAGCCACGGGATTTGCCCTCCTTTGTCCTGTCTGTGACCAAAACACAGCTTTATTGAACAAAAACACACCAGTGTTGCCCTTTCCTTACCTGCAAAGCTGCCTTGGCCAGTGCCCAGCACCTCCTTCCAGCCTCAAAACTGAGACAAATACTTTATTTTACATGAGTTGGTCGTGATCTTCCAGGGAATCCCAGGGTGAAAGGGAATTGCAGCGCTTCCAGCACTGGGATTTATAACTCACAAGTTCATTTTCTCTAAGGAGCCCCAGGTGTGTTGCCAGGTGTGGGATGTATCTTCATTTAAACCCCGTGGGAGGGCCTAATAAAGAAATCCCACAGGTGCTTCCCTGGACAAGGGGATTAACTTTGAGTGACAAAGTGATATTGTGAGAGTTTTAAAGTTCACCTTCAGTTGTGAAAGGCTTTGCTTTTCACCCCTGAATCCGATGGGGCTCCTTTGGGAGCGGCTGGGCCAGCTCAAAGTCAAGCTCTGTTCCTCTCTGGGATGGATTCCTTGGGATGGAAAAGCTCATCCCATGGACAGGCAGGGACATCTTCCACTAGCCCAGTTTGTCCAAAGCCCATCCAACCTGGCCTTGAACAATTCCAGAGATGGGACACGATACTCTCTTATCCCAGAAGTTCTTCCTTGTAGCAGCTTTTATTCCCACAGTGGCTTCTTGCATTTAATTCTSCCTGTTGTGATAATGGTCTGGAACMAAAGCAGCAAGGCCAGAGTAATCTCTGAGTTTATGCCTGTGTCCAAAAACTTTTATGTTTCTTGTCACTCTAGAGGGGAATTAATGGCCCTAAACAGTTAAAGAAATAAATAATTTAAAATAAATATCCCAGTAATAAACTGTCCCAATCCATCCCAGTGTCAGAGCTGTGGGCACTGGGACAGCGTGTGACGGGCAGGGAAACAAAGCAGCTCCTGCGGTGTAAAACATTCCATCAGTTCAGCATCCAGCCTGCAATTAATGATTAATTAATAGCATTAATTATTCATTRGCTGTCAGTTATCCCATTTCTGCYGGTCCTCAGCTTGGAATTTCAGAGGCACATGGTTTCTGTTCTCAGATCTCCTGGTGGTGGAAGCACGATTGAGCTCAGGGCAAGGTTTGGTGGCTGCACAGTTGTGGGAGAGCTACAAAAAAAAGTTCAATCAAACCATTTCTTCTGATTTATGAAATAGAAAACTTTGAGGTTTCCCCTTCAGTTTGGGTTTTTTTCCCTATGGCAGCTGGCTGAACCTGGATAACACTGCTGGTTTKTATGGGCTGAGCTGTGCTTCCCAGAGCTGCTGGAAGTTTTCAAAGAAAGCATTYCAAAGGGCTGGGCTGGGTACAGCCTCACCATTCCCACCTGGAAATGTGGAAGGGCTTTTTCGGGTTGTGCACGTTTTGTTCTGACAGCTGCACCACAGAGACGTCAGGGAAAGGCTGATTCCAGTGCCTGCAGGAGGATTGCACGGTGGGAATGCTTCTGTGCAGGAAAAACCCACAGAGAATATGGGATGGCTTGGGAAAGCCCTCTAAGGTGTTGGAGTCCAACCATTCCCCCAGCAGTGTCCCCTGTCCCCAAGTGCCACATCCACAGGGCTTTGAAATCCCCCCAGGGATGGGGACTCCATCTGAGCACCCTTTCCATGAAGGAATTTCCCCAATGTCCCCCCTGGCCCAGCCTGAGGCCATTCCCTCTCCTCCTGTCCCTGTTCCCTGGAGCAGATCCCAAATCCCCCCGGCTGTCCCCTCCTGTCAGGGAGTTGTGCAGAGCCACAAGGTCCCCCCTGATCCCCCTTTTCTCCAGGCTGAGCCTCTTCCCCATCTCCCTGAGCCGCTCCTGGGGCTCCAGACCCTTCCCCAGGACACACAGGTTAAAGCAGTTTATGAAATTTTAACCTCTAGGATCACATGAGAACACAAAAAAGGCATTGTTTTTCTCAGTTATATTTATTTGAAAATCCTTCTGCTTTGCATTGACAGCTTAGATGAYACACGCTGAGATCTGATTTTGAACACAAAATTCAATTAAAGAGAATTCAAAAACTTTAGACCTGCATGAGGTGTGTAAATGGCACATGCATCTCACCTGGTCAGTGCTCCTGTCCCTCCAAGGCAGGCTTTGGGTGGTTACAGCATCTCTGGGAGGTTGCTGGTTCCTGTTTCTCATTTTTGGAAAGAGGAGGCTGGAACTCTCTGCCAGAGGCAGCACCTTGCAGTGCTTTCAGTTTTCCAAAATAAATACCCTAAATGGCTGCAGGTGCCACTCAGGGCTCTGGGTTGGTGACAAGGTGGGGATCTGTCTCAGTTGGACTTGATGGCCTTGTACAACCTTAATCATTCTGTGATAAACTATAAATTATCCTTTAATTATCCAATCCTTAATAGCRCCCATCATTCTGCCCCCTGTTCCTGCCTAGGAACCTGTTCTGACCGAGTGGGAGATCCCACCAAGGACCAGCTCCAACCCCCTGAACATTCCCAAGAATCCTTCAAAGGAGCAGTTGGCTGCAAGAATCTCCTTCCCTGCTGAACCAGCAGGAATTCTCTGTATTTATGTTCCTCTGGGTCGCAGCTATTTAAGAGCAGATCGTTATAAAAATAAACATCATTTATTTCGCAGAGCAGATGCATCTCCTTCTTCAGAACCTCATTAAATTTTCCTAAAAATGTAACACGTGAGGCTGCTGCCAAAAACTATTGGCAAACAACAAAAATGYCACAGGACTCCGGGTTTCTCCCGACTCTCCCAAGGAATTTTCCCAATTTTAGTGCAGGACACAAAGAGACTGGACAGACTTTTAAACGCTTTGTAGTTTTGTTCATTTATTGTAGAAAAGTTATTGTAATGCGGTTCATCTTTGTACATCTAAATTCCATAAAACGAATCCATA